CACACATGAGTAGGAGAAAATGTCATGTCGTTCAATGCAATTCAGGTGGGAATGGGAAATCCATTACCATGCACTTCTTTCTCTTCCTCTCGCCAATCACTCTAAATGTGATTTTACTGTGAACGAATCGAAACAAATCCGACCACCAAAAACACAAACCATATCCCAACAAAATCCCCCCCGCCCCGCCCTGTTCAAGGGTTCAATGGGGAGATTTTGTACGTTTTGCGTGCCACAAACGTAGCCCGTGGTACTAGTACAGGGCTGGGCCACCCCTTGTTTTAAACATGCTTCAACCGCTAGAGTTTAAGCAACATCCCGTTCAAGGAAACATATTGGTAATAATATCATCGAAAACGGTGTGTCATGAACATGTAGTGGTATCAAAGGTGGCAATTCCTGATAAATTGGTCTGCTTCTTTGAAGATCTTTTGCTCACTCCTTCGCCAATCGGCGGCGGCTTTGCATCCTCCGGTTGCAGGCGTTCATCCGAAGCCCAAAGCCGAAGGCCTCGGGGATGGACTATTAAACGCCACGTGGATAGCTCCAAAGGAAAATACGAAATCAACAAAGAAAGCTCAAAGTACTCAAACATGAAACAAACAAAAGACCGGAGGAAAGCCAAATAAAACCCAAAGGACCTTGTGTGCATGTCTGCGTGAGCTGGGTGCGAACACGGAGAAACCAGACCCCTGTGGCACGGCACGCAGCTGCAACTTGTGACTTCTACAAAACGTTAGACTGGCAGAAGCCTCGCAACAAAAGCATCCAAAGTGGACGCCAGGTGGTGCTTTTGGCACTGCAAATGGTTGGGGGCCCTCAAGTTCCCCGATTCCAAGTGTGCCAGTCAGGGGGAAAAACGCGGCCGTCAAACGTGCCAGACCTTTAAGCTGAAGAGTGGCTGCCAAGTCGTATCACTCTGAAGTTGCTCCAAGGCAGCTCAAGGAGAAGTGGTACTCGCTCGAAAGCAAAGCACCGTCGCTTTGGGTTGCAAAGCACGGGGAGGGATGGCCTGCCCGACTCTATACAAAGATGTTTGACTCATCTCACATAAAACCTCGGTGATGCTGGCCTTAGTAAGGCTCTTCGTGTGAGAATGGGAATCCCTGGACATATCCCCACAAATTGATGCCACACATGGTAATTCCCGTGGTCTGTTGCACTTCCGTGCAATAGCCGACCACATGACGAGAGCCTGCTCAATAGGGCTGCAGGGTAAAGTTCGGCATTGCTTGGCGACTTATGTAAACCCTCAGATGTGATTGTGTGTCACAGTAACTATACAGCCACGGTTTCAATAAACTGCAAAGTTGAGCAAGTACTTGTCCAATTGGCTACTAACATCTGAACTTCACCTTTTCAATTCTGATCTACTGGCCTTTTCACAACGATGGTGGTCTTCCACAACCCTCCTGTCCCCTATGAGTGGAGCTCTCCCGCGTAAAGAGTCGGGCGCCGCTCGAACTTCCGGGGGCGGGGCAAAGACCGTCTCGCAGACGTCCTGAAAAGTTGGCTTGTCCAACCTAACATTGACCAAGGAAACTCAGTGGAATTGGCCCCTCCAAGAGGTGAGAACTCTGCCCAACATTGAATCATAGAGGGAAACAACATAGTGAGCACATAGAGAACATGAGAACATAAAATCGGTATTGGACATATAGAAAACCCAAGTTTACAAACGACAAAGGGAACCCCGAAGTTGCAAAAGGGCCAGAAACAAGCTGGATCCGATGTGTGGCCGGTGGGACATTAGACCTCAGGCCAGCGGCTGTCAACTGAACCGGCGTTTCAGGTCTGGCAACCACCGCAAAGTAGCCATCCCCAATACGCCCGTGGTATCTTAAGTTTCTTTTGGGGTGTGCTCAGTAAGAGCGGTGCCCACAGGCGCACTATGGCCCCATGAAACTGAGGTGGCCAATAGGAATGGGTTTGCGGGCACTTTGGAATCCAGCCTCGTTGGCTTCTCAAAAGCAGGATGCAAGCTGAAATATTCCCACAGGTCACCAGTTGGGCCGTGGGCTATGGGGGAGACTCCAAGAGTTAGGGCTCTTCCCTTCGGACGGTGTTCACAGAACACCAATTCAATACGACGCCAGCTGTTCGGGCTTTGAAAATGGGCCATAGCTGCCTTAGCTCAAGCCGCAGCCATCTCCTGCTCGGCCCATGCGTTGATCCGCCGAAGCAGCTGAGATCGGCACCTCATCGACCCTTTGGGCCTCCCCAAGTCCATGTTTCATTCCCGAGTAGGTAGCTTCAAGTGCCTGAATGACATGCTAAGACATTGTTTGCAGCATCCTGTTTAAGTCTTCTTGATATTCATACTACATTTGCATACTAAAATAAACTTGCATATATATATATATATCAAGTTAAATTTATTATAAATGAACACCCATACAAGACCTCAGTTGTAGCGATCCTACTGCAGTAGCGATGTGTGCTACTTTGCAGTCTGCAATCCCAGTTGCCCAGAACAAATGATTAGTGGGAACCCATTTTGAGCGTGACCATTGTTCTCGCCAGGGCCCAAGTAGGGCGGCAAACAAAGATGCCATATTGCAATTCGACCCTGGGTACCCTCATTGAGTCGCAATTTGTCCAGCTCTCATGCAAACAACCTCTGCCAACCCTGTACGCCGCCTGGGTTCAACCTGGCAGGGGTACCCTAAAACACACAAGCCCACATTGCAACAGGACAATCTATTGCAACACAAGGGGGTGTCCCTAAACAACTACATCATTGCAAAGTAGCTTCCCCTTCCGGAATACCAAATATTCTAACATATACATACATAAATGAATGTGTATATATATATATATATGCGTGGCCCATTCGTTTGAGGGGAAACAAACAAAACTCAAAATAGAGGTCCCATTTTTAGGATGGTCAGGTGAAACCAGAAGGAAACCAAGCGCCTAACGGAGGTCCCTCAAATCGAGACCTGCGGCCGGGCATTGGCCTTTCGTGCCCCGTCGGCACCAAATCCCCAAGTGGTTTTGGGGCTTCCGTCCCAACGAATCCGCAGGATTCGTCCATCCAGTGTGTTGACTCGCACAATATATTGCGCGTGTGGTGGTATGAGCTAGGATTGAAATAGATTATTTTGGGGGAACTATTTAAACATTATATAGATATATGCTATTGCACATGATCGTTCCCTAGGTCCCTTGCTGCACCATCCACGGAGGCTGGCGAAGCGAGGTCTATCCTGAAGGAGAGTTTGGAATCTTCGTCCAGCTGCCCCTCAGTTCCGATTTTCGATGAAGTCCGTCCCAACAAAAACTGGAGGGGTCCTAACAAGGATCGAATCAGCCAACGCCTGTTTAAACATGTAGCAAGGTTACGGTCACGCTAGCCACGGGGCACTTAAACAAATATTGATATTGTTTGAAGCCCCCCTGTCAGCTTCCCCCTGACTGGTGCTTTGGAGGATAGGGGGTGTCCCTTTCATCCTCTACAAAGCCAAACCTCCTGATGGTTTCCCTTTTAAGGCGACCTAAAGTTGCACTCGGCTTCGTGCCAGCCGCAGCCGATTCAGCCCGCTGCCCGGGTCGAAGACGGACCTCAATTTTCTGGTCACCGATTCGCCAAAGCCGGCGCCCCCCGGCCTACAATCCTTGATTTCAGGTTGCCTGTGTTGGTGTTGCCTACAGAATCTCCTACTCCCTTGCAAATCAACATGGAACCCAAAAAGTGGGGGTCCCCCAACAGGAGAAAAACAGCATGCGTTGGTTTCATGAGTATTGACAGGAGTGTGCATTTCAATGAGAGACCATTTGGCGCACATCAAAAATACGGGGCGATGTTGTTTCCACCAACCATTGGTGTGCTCTAGCCATCAAAAGCTGATAGCCATGTAAGCGAAAGCTTTTTCTTCTGCTGGTCTTGCCAAGGCTAGGCCAGCCACAAAGGAGAATCATCGTGAGCTAGTCTGGGTGCTTAATACTGTGGATGGGCGAAATCCTGCACCACCTAAACAACCCTGGACTGGTGATTCCCCTGCAAATACCAACCAGCAATGGTTTTTCATGGTTTCAAAGTGGTGCAGGATTTCGTCCATCCACAGTAGGGAGTAGTGCTGAGGCCAAACAACCCAGATCCAAACATCAGCCTCCAAAGTGACCAGACTCGCTGTCCCACCAGACCTCGACGCAGCGATTGCTCTGGCACTTACGTCTTTCTTGTGTCGTCTACATAATATGTACAACACGGAAACATGTGGTAGTGTGTGCAGCTTGACCATCGGGCTTTAAAAGCGCCGACACTTAAAAATAGAGTGCCGATCATCCAGAACACATCTGCGTGCACGTCAATGGAAGCTGCTCTTAATAAATCAGTAGTTGAGGCGTGCATAGACCTCCAGACCCTTTTCCAAAGACCGAATTTATTTGGAATGTCGAATGAGATGTTTTATCAATTTGGAAGGCCCCTTTGATGTTGGTGGAAAAATATTCCTTCCGAAATATCTAGGGTGCACATGGCAATGTTGCTTTGGGGCACCCTTTTGGGGTTGGTGCTTTGTTGGAAACAATGTCAAACCACCCATTTTGGAGGCCCTCCGCCGTGAGACACCAGGCGGCTGCCGGCTTCGCCGGCCTCTTCCTCAGCCCCGCGTCCACCACGGCCGTCACACCTGAAGCCATCGCTGCCCTCAGGGCGTCCCGTAGACAAAACCATCCAATGTGAATGAGTCCACCATCCCAAAACAGGGGGCTCAACCCTGTTTGAGACGGACCTGGCGACTTTGGCCTAGTTCAACCAGAAATAGGACATGGGGGGGCGTAAGAAAGGAACCGTCATGGCGAACCAAATCCCGTGTTGGTTGAATTCGCTCGAGCGAAGGATTCTTTGGGTGAAGACGGCTGGGTCTGAATGGCGAAGCGCAGGGTGGGAAGTGCAGCCTATCAGAAGCCAACGTGGTGGTTTGGAATTTGGACCAATACAGCAATGGTCAGACATGATCCCACTTCAAATGTCCAGAGGCCTTGGCACCTTGACGACAGCACTTTCTCAGCCAGAAGAAAGCAGCTGCACAACTAGTGATGCATGGCACGCGACGCAGGACACAGCCGTCTCACAAGAGTTGAAAAGTCTACCCGAAGGGCAATTGGCACCAAGCCATGAACCTTCAAAACGGGGCTGCCCATCTTGACCCACAAATAATCCCCAGGTGCATTGGTCTACCCGAACCAAAAGCGAAACTTGCCGCCAGGGAAAGTTGCCAAAGCCCTGCCTGCGGAAGCCGATTGGGTAGGGCAAACCGGATGCCACTGACCTGCGCCCCCCCGCCCTCCACGGTGATGGACGCCTCCGCCACGTTGGTGGCTAAGATCACCCGCCGCCTGGCCACAGGACGAGAAAAACGCCTGGTGGGTCAGTGTCAACCTAGGGGGCTAGATAAGAGGTCTGGAAAAGTCAAACACATCCATTGGTCCATCCCTTTCGGCATGCTTTAGGAGAAATTGAAGAATTGTGAGCTATTTACCCCAATCCGAATGGTTCCGGACAAATACACGCTGGAGGGCCGGAAGATGATTCAAGCAAAACTCACACCTAGCGCGGTATCTCCGCGGACGCTCTTGGCCGGGGATGAGAATCCTCCCTTCGGGTTTGAACCATGCCGTCGAGCTGCAGCCAGGAGAACACAACTCAAGGTTGAATTGCAATGGCACCCTGGAAAGAATAGAAGCATAGCCTCTTAAATACAGTAGCACTAGTTGCCCTCATCGTGATAACAAAAAAATCAAGAATACATGTATATGCCCAGTGAAAAAGGACAACAAGCAAACAAAGCAAAGCAAGCAAACAGGAGTATCTTCTAACGGTCCCTGCTAAAACCCTCCCGGTGTCCACCACAGCGCCCAAACGCATGGAACTGACCCCAGGACAAAAAATAAACTTAGCTTTGACTCCGAACTGAACCATTCCTGGGTTCCTTTCCAGGATGATCCGTTCGGTTCATCCAGCACCAAGGAGATTGAATCAACAAGTTCGGCTGGGATGGGCAAATCGAAGCGGAGATGCAGAAGAATTCCCTTTGCCACCTAAGTCGTATCCCTTTCCTTGGGTGAAGAAAGAATCGGAACTCTGGAAGCAATCATAATCAATTGATATAACCTTCTATCCCCTGTTGGTTTACCTTTGGGTAGATGAACAATTTGCGGTGGCTCCAACATTGGGTAATCCCAAATGGCCAAAGTTCATTTCACATGGCTATTTGAAACAATCACTCCCCCCGCATAACGGTTCGGTCGAATCAATTCCTCGGGGCGCCAGGCCGGCCCGGCTCGCCCGGCCGCACCGCCACGTCTTGGGCCTTGCAAACCAACGGTGCTCTGGTTTTCCACTGGCCACTGGCGTTGAGCCGTTGGAGGCGGTTTTCAATTACTCGGGTTGGCCAAACCCTTCAAAAATCTTTGGACATCTCTGGTTGAAACAACCTTTTGGTTTCCGAAGTGGAGCAACCGTTCGCTGTTTGCCCTTTTCCGCCGGTGGACCCATCAACTGCCAAACAAAATCATGGCCCTTGCTCCTGCATACACGAGGGAATGAGTTGGGGTAAGGGAAAACAAGGCTCAAGCCGGGCGGTTTGAACAGGGGCTGTAGAGACCAAAAGCGTGCGCTAGGGAAACCATTTGGCCATTACCCTTGGTCAAACCGGGACCCCAAGGAGGTTCCCTCTGTTGGGAACCATTCGGCAATGTCCCTCCCATTCACCAGCATCCCCAACGTTTGGTACAGGTGGCCTCCAAACGGACATCACCTTGGATCCAAAAAGGCAATCCCCGCGTCCCCGGAATCCAGGAGCCTGTGGCCCTTTGTAAATCACCGAAATTTGCGCGCGCATCCCAATATTGACCAAGTGGAGCAATATGGTAGCCAGGCACTATAATTGAGGCTCAGCAAGAAAACCCACAAGTGTAGTATAAGGTAGTATGAGGGTCATGATTGTAGGAGTAGTCAACTAATAGACACTATTCAGTCCCTCATACCACTGAACCAACTCACCAGCGAAGGCAGATTCAAACAATAAAAGCAACTCAGGGACAAGTGCCGTCAGCTCCAACCGATATGACTGCGATTTGAGACGCTTCTACAATCAAGTGCAAGCAAAGGGTCTAACCTTTTGTAGGTTGAATGGCAAGCTATTTGTGTTCAACATATGGGGCGATTCGGTCACACCAAAGCCACGAACAACATAGCTCCTGTTCTGGCCGGATTGCGAGAACCTCACCCCTACTTTGTGGCAAAAGCGGGCGCCGCCACAAAGGCTTTGGGAATGACCCAAAAACTATCCCTCAAAGAAAACCAGAAGGGATTGTCCAGCTCCGGGTTGCCAAGATGATCATGACCATCTTGATCTTGAGTTACCCTGTTTCTCTGAGCATCCTCTTGGTTTCAAACGTTCTTTTTTCAAGAGTGCCTTCTTTCATGGACTCAATGGACTCCTAGCAGGAGGCTATCCCTGGATAAGCCCAGGATTAGCCAAGCCTTACGAAGGGGATAAGGGATAGCCCCGTCCTCATAGTCCCCCCCAGAGGACTCCCTCGGTCACATGATATGTCCTTGCCTCGGCGTCCAGTGCGCCGTGCAGGGGCAGCACATCCACGGGCGTCCTTTGCCTCGACAAGGCTCTACTACGACTCTTTTCAGACATCCGATTTCTCTGGCCAACTCTAAGGGTCAATTCTGAAGGTGGATTCAACGAGAAAAAACATTGGGTAGGGTCCCTTCAAATATCTGGTCAAATGTCTCCGATTCACAAGCCTTCATGCGCGAGGTTGCCACCCCGTTCTGTAAGGTCGCGATCATTTGCGCGAACGTCTTGGTGAGTCTTCCACAACGGACTCCTCCAAATCTTGGGTTCGGGTTCCTTAAGGGAAGCAGGCACCCGTGAAGAGACCGATTGCACACTTGGCATCAGCGGGGTGCAAAGCGCTTGCCTCGCAAAAACGCTTCCCGTCAGTTGGCAATTGAATCAAACATGCTTATCGGCTCAGCTTCCATGATCATTGGCTCAACACATTCCATGCTCGGGTTGAACTCCGAGATGGCTGTTAATTGCTAAACCTTCCACAATGTCCAATTGCTCAAAGTTGGATCTCTCCCTTTCATCACCGGGCAAGGCTCGGACGCCAGATCACGGGCATGTTCAAGCTCTCTGCTTGCTTTGACATGGGGATACAAACGATACAGGGATGCACAAATCATTGGCCGAAAATCGCTGGCCTCGCGGGTCTATTTCAAAAGCTCATCTCCAAGCTTTAGAGGGACATTTCTCCGGGAAACATCCCCCAAACAAGGATACGAGCTTGACATGCTTGTGTAAAAGGCGGGAAAACATGAGTGCAACCTGGTGATTATTGAACGATGTTGAGTCACCCACCCAGAGATATGTGACTCCGGACCAGATGGGCTTGGGGCTGTTACTCGCCGCAGGTCAAAGGAAACCCAACATTTTAACTCGGAGATTCGGGAAATGCCCCCCCCCCCCTCCCCCAATTTTCTCAGGAACACTGCAGACCCAGTCGCAAGGACACAGCCGCGGATGTAGCATCCTGCGCAGGACACGAGCTGATGTGGGAAAGTCAGACTATTGACATGATTGGGCTATAGGCTATATTCAGTGTTTGGCACCATGTGTGATGCATGGTGCGGGTCACTACTTTCACAAAACCACGTGCTGTCACGACCCGAGAGAGCCCTTACTTCGCTCTGCAGGTCCAGCTGGTAGCCCGCGTTCGCAGGGGTTCGTGAGGGCGTGTTGTCAATGATCCTCTTGATGAAAATAATATGAGATCCCTTTGGGTGCGCCACGGCACAGCTAGATACAGCATGCAGCAGCAATCAAAGGTTAGCTAACAAGTTCAGCTCACTTTTTCGCTACGCTGTACATGAATCATCAGATTGCCGTTCCCAACGCAATGTCACCAAAGTAGTCAAGTGGGTATACGAAACTGCCTCTCCTGATAGTAATGATGGTCATCCGATGCATCATAGCTGGTACAGAGTGCTTTGAAACAAGGCTGCATCACAGTGAATCCTCCATGCTGCCATCCCCTAAAAGGCCACTGCTAACGCGACAAACATGCCCTACCCCTCCGTTCGCGGAAATAAAGCTGTTCCGCCACATGCTTGGCTTGACGGAACACTATGAGGGTAGCCCGTCCCAAAGGTGCGGGATCAGACAACGGGCTCAGAAGTAAGACCCTCCCTTAATTCATGGCTGATGTCCATGCTGGCTCTCTGTGGTTAGGAAAGCGGGGACAAGCTCATTCTAGCCGTGAATAGCCAAAGTTTCCAGAAGTATGGGGAGGCGAATCTAGTCAAAGGGTGTTCAGGATGAATACCTCTTGAGTACAAACAATCTAAGGTCAACCCCGGACTTCTAAGGGCAATCAAATTCCGCATGCACAGCTGGCAAACGGTACAAGCGAAAGCGGCCGACAAGTCAGCAACTAGTGCAAAAAGACCCTCCAACCGTGCGGCATTCCAGGCATTCCTGGCTGCAAAATCTGGAAAACACGTCACAAGTATCCGCCCGGCTTTTTGGATTCCTTGAGAACCTAAAATCAACCAAGTGGGCTATTTAGCTCCCAGATCCCGAGCGAAACCCCCACGCGCGCCTCCCCAAAGCCACGGCGGGGAGCCGCCTTCGGCTTTGCCTGCGACGTGAGTTCTGCGAGCCCGGCTTCCAATCGTTTCCTGAGGGCACCCCTTGGTAAGTTGGTCCTACACGGGAGCCAAAAGGACAAAACACCTTCATTTTTTGGGGCGGGGGAGTCCCCTTCAAAAACGACACATCGTAACCGTATGAATATGGAGTCCTCATGTTTAGCGAACCTTTGACTTGAACATGAACTCAAGCGAGATCCCAACTGTGGGCTCATGGATAGTTTTGGCTGCCGGCTTTCGGAAATTCCATTGAGACATCTCAAGAGTCCTTGCCACTATCAATTAGGTGACCCCTTGAATTCCCACAAGTTCGTCCCTTTCGGATGCTACACAAACAAAATATCCTGCGCAAGCTGGAACCCGATCATTATGAGAACCCGATCAGGGTCCCCTGAAAGAAGGGGCTGCCGGAAATCTCCAGTTCCTGAGGTTTAAAATCATGGCCCGGATTCCAATACAACGAATCAGTGGAAACGTGTTTCTTGAGCTGGGCACTGTCGTCGCACTCAACCTTGACATGCACGCGCCATCCAACAATTCCCTGTCTGCAAACAGCTCTGAAAGGGTGAGTCTCCAAGCTGAGTTTATCCCGGGCTTGCCCTCGGCAAACCTCGACAGCGACCTCCAGAGAACTGTGTACTCTCCATGTCATGTGTCAAAATGAAAAGAGGGATAATCCCAGTACAAAGATCTCTTGTTGCCCCTCCCTCATTTCATGCCGCAGCGAATCCTCCTTCTGCAGTTGACCTACACGCAATAACCGATTTGACTCCAAATCGACTCTCATCGTACTTTTACCTTTGCCCAAAGCCCAGCGCCTTGGTTGGTTGCTTGGCAAGCCTTGCCTGGCGGTGTGAGTCGCTGGGTGGCGGACTTCGTCGTTTTATTTCGGCTCCCGTGTGCATGGATGCATGAATCCTCTCTCGTTGGAAGCGACCTGTTTGTTGGAATGCTGAGTTGTTGCTACATAACATGCCTGTTGTGGCTAATTAGTCATCAAGCCAAGGTCTGTTTGAAGGTAAAAAGGGCCGTTTGATACCTCGCAGTCATGTATACAGGAAAAATATGGTTCCTCCAATGTGCCAAGTTGGGCATCAATTGTGAGTGGATTGCAATAGTTTGCTGACCGAAAGTCAGGGATGCCTATGAAAAAGCTTCTCTCTGCGGTCGCGCTTTACTCTGCACTATCAATTGTAGCAATATCCCACTGCTGTGGGTGAAGCTAAACTGCCTGATCCCCACACCACAAAGTACACGAGACAACAAAGTCGAAACCCGAAGAACTCCACAGATCGGTGGCACGCCTCATCCATCCTCTCCTCCAGGTGCGAAAGGTCCACGAGCACCCCGTATGACAAACACAACGCTGTAAAACATGCCCTGTTCCGTCATTCCAAAAAAGAACAACAGCAATATCGGGAGCCTGCATGTTAGGGCAATGGAGACTCCAGGTACATAAGCCCAAAGTGCCAAGCAATCAATCAGAAATATTCCTCCAAAGGTATCCCACTGTCCTGGCCTTCAGCTGCCGCATGCAGCGCTGAATCCTGGCAACAGGGGGTGCTGTTTCGTTGACCCCCGGCGGCCTGTTGTTTACCGAGGCAAATGGGAAACGCATAAGGCAGTTGTCGCACTCAACTGGAGCGACTTCCACATCCCACCACAGCTCTTCCGTGGCACACCCACCAAACGAGCCAGCACTTCTCTGGTTCGCCAGGCAGGAAGCAAAGTACATCTCCTGCCGCAGAACAGATATGCAAGAGCCAAGTGCCTTGCTTCGAGCAAGGCTCATCTGGCCAAGCCTTCAACAGCCTTTGCAAAATTGAAATTGAGGTGGTCGTAGCAGTTTTTCCAAGAGCAAGCATTCTACACAAAACAAGATAAGCATACACCGGGCAACATCCGATATGTTGCCGTGCAATCCAGTGGGTGCAGAATGATTGCTGAGGATTCTGCAAGTACCATCAACCAGCAGCAACTATTGGAACCGAGTTCCACAAAAACCTGGGGCTTAAATTTTGTTTCCCTTCGAGCGGGCATCCTTTACAATGGGGATTCATACCCATCAATCACTCTTGCAACCTGCTTGGAACTCAGCTTGGGTGCACGTGGTGATCCTGCCACGCAAGTAATGAGCTTCAAATGATCGTGATTATGTTCATGCAGTAAGTAAGCTTCTCATCATCTTTCAGGTCCGCCATACAACATGGACACTTCCTCTAAGTGGGTGCAAACACACCCCCACCAAAAAGTCGAATTCCGAGGACCCGAACGGGTCAGGATTGGGCCAGTCCCCTTGCCACGTGCTGCCACTGTTTCAACAATATCCTGTTGGTTTCTCTGGGGCAGGGCTCTGGTTGGGCCAGCAAATTCGGCCCGACACCCGATTTTCCCCCCGCCCCCCCGTCTTGCCGGTTTCATTCAGGTCCTAACACTCTTTGCACCAAAACCCCCCAGTCCCAATACCAAAGTGGGACTAGGATCAGGGGCCATCTCCCTCATCTCTCCCTCTCTCCCGGTTGGCCATCAGGCGGCTGCCACTGCAGTGCCTGCACAAGGCTCTTGGCACCTACAAAGAGCAACTAGGGGTCGCGATGTTTGCGGTGTATCCTTGCCCTTGCCGGCAAGTCAACAAAGTCCGGGGTGTTTAGCACCCAGCAACGCAACCAATGGGAACCAATGGGAACCAATGGGAACCAATGGGAACCAATGGGAACCAATGGGAACCAATGGGAACCAATGGGAACCAATGGGAACCAATGGGAACCAATGGGAACCAATGGGAACCAATGGAAACTAATGACACCAGATGGTCATTCCTGTTGCAAATAGGCAGGCCTCACGCAATATGCCAGAAACTCTTTACCAGAACAGACAGGTCCTAAAGCCTGTCCTGGCATGTAAGCAGAACACGGGCTTTGCTCCAAATTAAGTGGAATACCCAATCGCCTACCTTTCGCTGCCCGCAGGCCGCGGGCCTCAGGTTTCTCTTCGTGGAAGCACGTTGTGTAGAAAAAGGAGCGCGTTTGTGCACCAAGGGGAAGCCAGAGGGAAACCAACCATTGAGGAGTCTACCCAGCCAACAGAAATACAACCCGCGCCTCGCAAGCTGCGTCGGTGACAATCTGGGCCATCTCAGCCTGCCCGTGGGGGTCTCAAAGGTGGGTCCAGCTGTTGGGATGTGTTCTTAAGGGATACCCAAAGGAAACCGAAAAACTAGAAGATTTCCCACCCCTCGGGCCCCCCCAAGTTTTGAGAAACAACACCCAACCAGCAGCATGGTCTAAGCCGATACCGATACTTCCGAACATAGGTGCACCTCTTGAGCTTGTTGCTTTCTTTCTGATACATGCAGTTTACATGCCGGCGGGTAGTATCGGTTCGCAACCTCAAACACACGTCCAACCCTTCGGATTCCCGCGCCGGCCATTGCCGGGCGGAGCGTTTTTGGAACACTCATTCAACCTGCTTCCACTTGCCTAAGGAGATACAACTAAAATACAACACGACCATTTCCCTGTAAAACCAATGCCACTACCATTTTGGAAGGGATCCAGATCACGCTTGGGGAAAGGACCCCCCTATCCGCCTTGGTGAATGATATTTATACAACAGGGCTCCTGTGCTCAAATAACTGAACAAAACGTTGGTGAACAATAAGCAATCACCCTCAGAACATGCAAGCCCGTGCGTTTCGCGAGCACGCTCGCACCTTCTTCTCAAAGCCGTTGGCAACCCGCAGCAAGCGCCGACTTTTCTTGGTGTGCCGCAGCTTGACGTGGAACCTGACGGCTTTTGCAGATAGGGCTCAAAGTCCCTGCATAGGTGCTTGGACCCGTAGGACACCCTCAGGGTACTTGTATATGGCAACTTCCTCATAATCAAGCTATCGGATCAAGCAGAACATCAATACCAGGTTCTTGGCACATCAGCTCACTAACATGACATTGTTTGCAGCGCGCGAAGGTGACGATCAAATCACCAAGCAGGGAGGTAGGACTTTGCACTGACGCACTTGGCCATCAACACGGCTAGTGCTGTTGGCCCTTTCGCAAGCGCAGTGACCTGGAAGAACGTGAGTTCAACTCTAGGGGTGGGCCAAAGCAATGGCAGGAAATCCATTCCACTTCCAGCACCTCATTCCCCGAACGCAAGGGTTGCCAAGAAAGGTGCCTTCAAGGTGCCAGTCGGAAACTAAAACCATGGCAGCCACAATTGCCCCATACCATCATGGGGGCTGGGGGGGAGGGAGGGGAGGGGGAGGGAGCCCAACTAAGCCCTAAATAAGGCCCTATTAAGGGCTTATTTGGGCTCCCTCCCCCCTCCCCTCCCTCCCCCCCAGCCCCAATGATACCAAGACATGCTAGGCTGAATGTCCTACCCAATCATTGCACCATTCAATTGGTAAGTCAACTGGCAGCATGAGCTCCTTCCAAACAGTGAAATATCAACGGCCGGTCCTTGGAAACGTGCGGTTTGGGCCTGCGGTAATTTGAACAGGCCTGGTCATGAGCTCGTCCCCCACCCCATAGAAACCAAAGGTCTGTGGCTCCCCGCTGTCTGCCCTCCGAGCGTACGATTGCTCCCCCCAAAAGCTCGGCAAGCCTGGCAGAGAGGGCAGAGGAAAATGGTTGGTATATACAGTTGGGTGAAAGTCATGCCGCAATTCCTGCATTTTGGCTTTGTCATCCCCACTACCTACTCACGGAAAGGGAAGTGTGCCATCTGCAGTTACCCCGGTGTACGGTCACATACTGATTCCATATTCCAGTAAACCCCTGAGTTCTGGTAGAAAATGGTTCCTTTTCAAAGTGGAATGGCCAGTTTACCCGATATGAATAATACAGTGAAATATTCCATGCAGCCATAACTGCCTTGTCACATAAAAAAAGGATCCCGTTGGCCGCTCACAGAAAGGGTCAACCTGAGCCCCATTTATCCACAACCTGTTTGTAGTGAATATGATTTCGGCTCCAGGGATGTCCATGGTGGTCAGGACAAGCACATCAATGGGTCTCCGCTGTTTCGCAAGAGGACAAGTTCATAACTATGTCACTTACACTGGCGTCGACTGTGCGCGGGCCACGAGCTTCATTCCGCAGGTCAACCTTGCTTCGAAGCAAACCGAGCAAGTCATACATGCGAACCAGGCAGCCCATGGTGTCCTCGACCAAAGAGGCAACTAGCAAGCGGATTGACCCAACTTTGTGCATGCACCGACTCGAAGCTTCGCACAAGCGGCCTGTTCGCCAGGCGCTGACTCAAGGTGGCACTCATGGCCAGAATCCGAAGAGCCGGAAGCCCCGCCGCCTGCCTCGAGGCGCTGTGCCTTTTTGGGGGAAACCAACCATGGAATCTGACTGGGGGTCCTGAAAGGCAACTTCCTCTAAAAGGGACCTTCTGGTGGGTTCCTTAGTAGACGGGAAGGTAAGCGAAAAGGAAACAGCTTTGCGAAGTCCTCAATGTTGGGTCTGAATTTCAATTGCTTGCTCATTTGCTCAGGGACCCTCGAAAGGTTTCTCCTTCCTCAGCTTTTGGGTTGACTTCTGGAAACAAACCCAGTACTCTGATTGCTTCGAAGCCCAAAGATCCTATCCAGAGCAATTTCATTTCGGGCAATAGGGGTTCAATGGTCATCCCGAAGGAACCGGCGAAAGGAGGACAGACCGCTGCATCCAAATACACCCAAGGGCATTCAGCTTCTCACCCCGTCGGCATAGGCTTGCACATGCAAGCCGGGTACATGCCTGTCACGTCGAAGTAGAACAAGTGCAAAAGCCGCTTTGCCGGTTGGAAGTTGGGGGTCTGCTCATGGTTCGCTCTTGCGTACGGCTGCATCACTGCCGGCAGTCCCCTCATGATTCCATTTCCGCAATGTCGAGTAGATCTCGTAGTTTCGGGCACGGCGATTGGCTCCTTGAGGTCTCGCCGGAGAGGTGCCAAGAAGCGCCTGGAAGTGTCACATACTGCACCAGGTCAAGGTGGAAGCGGAAGAGCTCGCTCCGAAGCGCAGTCAGTATGTCCAGGAGCGCCAGGCAGTCCATCAACAAAAATCGCTAAGGATTGGAATCTCCTTTGGGGGAGCCCTTTCTTGGTGTCTCAAAGGACCCAAATTCTCTAGGGGTCCTCTAAAGGGATCCTCTAAAGGACTCGCAGAACTTGACATCACGGAGAGGCAAACTATGGTTCCCAACCAGTGATCTCCAAAACAGGGAATTAGAAGCAATGAACAGACCCGAAAGGGTATATCCAAGTGAAGGATCTTCATCGTGGTAAGTTTGTTTTGCTTCTAGGTGAGTTCCGCACAAGATCGGCAGAATGATGGACATCATACAACATCACTGTGTTAGACATACCGCCTCTGTGTTAGAGTGAGTCGAATCTCCCTTTGGATCGCTTGCAAGGATGCCCAAAGCGAACCGAACAGTTCCGACAGGACTTGTCCTTTTAAATATTGTTGCCAAATACTCAGCCAACAAACTCAAGCCATGGAATTTCCAAAACGAACCACTAAACCATCCAAGGGTGGCCACAGGTTGGGAGTTGTTGCTGCTCCCGCATCAAAAAACAACTCAGAGAGCACTTTGAAACGGGCCTTGAACATGGCATTCGTTGGCTTGCGCCCCCCCTGTTGTAAGACAAGTCTTCCTGCACCCTGTTGCCAAAGGGTGAGAAACACTCATCCAGGTTTGCTTCAAGAAAACCAAAAGCAACCGTAGTTCGGCCGCGGACACCCCTTTTGCTGTTTCAACTTCGGCCAAACGGCATAGTTACAAGGGCTGTGTTGGTCCTACTCGGTGTCAAATGGTCTAGACAACTTGAACTACCAATTCCCCTGCGGTTTCTTTTTGCGCAAATATTGATGAAACTTGTGGGCTTCAGCACCGAAACAAACAAAACACCGAAGGAGAAGGACTCTTCCAGCAAATCAAAGGCGTCCAGGTGACAAACCCACCCGTAGCATAAAGACATCACGCTACATACAAACGGACAGGGAACAAACGCAAGCAAGCAAGCAAACAAGCAGAGAAACAAACGGACGAAGGAACCAACAAACACACCAACAACTGACCGGCTGACCGTCCGACCGACCGACCGACAGACCAGCCAGCCAGCCAGCCAGCCAGCACGCCAGCCAGCCAGCCAACCCAAAAACACATCACACAAACAACACATGGTTCCGGAAACTGCTAGCTGCTGATCCTGGCAGACCCATGTTCAGCAACATGAATGCCAGTTGCAAAATAACAAGCAAGTAAGGCCAGCAAGAAATATTCACCACTGCAGCACCCTGCACGCTCCGATTTACACCAATGACAACTACAACATACAAATCACAAGCATGAGGCCGACAGCGGTTTTACTGACTGACTGACTGACTGACTGACTGACTGACTGACTGACTGACTGACTGACTGACTGACTGACTGACTGACTGACTGACTGACTGACTGACTGACTGACTGACTGACTGACTGACTGACTGACTGACTGACTGACTGACTGACTGTTTACTAGCAGCCAAGCACCACAAACCAAACATCTCGTGCCTGGCTTGGCGCGAGTGAAGGCAAAGCGCCAGCGCCAAGTCGTTACCCAGGCTCCGCTCATGAAACCTGCCCAGGACAACAAGCTGAGTGCGTCTGCTACTTCTGTACAACTCCGCAAAGATTGAAATTAAAACTCTTGACATCGGTGGCCTCGCAGGCTTCGCACGTAGACCTATACATTTATGTCTGTATAGAGAGAGAGAGAGAGGGAGAGATACAAGTAGATATAGATCTGAATCTTATGCCGCGTGAGTTTGGTCGAGAATTGAATGCCTGACCCCATCATCATGTTCCCGTTCATCGAGTTGGTTCAACACCCCAAACATGACAGGCCAAAGAACAGTGTCACGAAAAGTTGCACTGTTGGGCAAGTCATGGTTACTGGGGACACGCTTGGGAGAACCTCCGTTTAGTCTGCAAACGTGAGACAATTGGGAACACGTTGAAAGCCCCTGTGCTTCATAGGATTGCGCAATTGTGATATCAAGCAGTTGCAGCCATTGAAATGCACCACAGTGCTTGCGGTGGTTGCAGGTCAGCGGCTAAACACGTTAGCACACCCTCAACATGAGAAACCAAACTGAGAAACCATAGCCAACAACGGTGGCAACATTGCAGACATATTGGCATGTCGCGCAACTCCGCGAAGTCCCTTTGAGTGCTTGTTTAAAAGTAGTGACCTGGTAAGCCCAAGTCTTGGCAGGGGGGCTCTCGCAGCGAAAAGCTGTTTGCTAGGTGCCAGTCCCTCAGTGATTCAGTGACCCTGGTAGAAAAAGGAAGCCCTTTTCGCCTTGGACCATCTTTAGTGGGGAACTACCAAACAAAATGATTTAGAGGCCGCCGTGCTTTTAAGGTGCGAGCTGAGCCTTTGCGGTCAAGCATCTTTGCTCCTCTACATGATACAGGGTTCCCTGGAAAACTTGGACCAAATTGTGATGTTTTCAACCACCCACAATGGGCACATGAGGCATGCCCAGAATACGCGCCTCCTATAGTAAAGGACATGGGCGCATCCAATAATGTTTTAAACATTGCCCCATATCCCCCCAAATTAGAATCGGGTGGGGTGGGGGACTGTTAAACCAAATTTCCTTGCGAGTCTGGGCGAAGTGGGAGGCTAGTTACAAGTAGACTTTGCACAGGCTGTTTGATAAAATCGAATAATTGTTCATCCTGGAGATTCATTCTCCGGCCTTTTCCTAGGCGTTTTAGTTTCCTGGTAGTTTTGGGCGTGCTGGGCGTTCTAAGTGGTTTCTAGGAGTTTTGCGCGACCCCCGAGCCCAAAAAACGTCTTTTTCTGATTTGCGGGCGTTTGCGGGGTTTTGCGGGCGTTTGCCGGCTTTTTGCGGGCGTTTTGCGGGTAATTCTGGGCGGGGAAAACGTGAAACCGTACCAATTCTGAAATCTCACAAAAATATAGAAGCTTTAGTAGTTTTAGGCGACTTCACGAAAAACACATCGAGATTTACGAAAAGCAAGTCAAAGCCGAGAACTACCAGGAAATTCATGGAGAATGAATCTCCAGGATAGTCTATTTAACGAAATAACCTTGTTTTGCGCATATGCGTAACCACATAGTCAACTTCAAAGTGGTGGATCAAAGGAAATACGAAAGGGTCGAAGCTGAAATTCGCGCCTGTGACTTGACTCTTAAAGTCGGCTTGACGTGTTTTGCCGAAAGCAAAGTGACCAAAAACCCGGGTTCTTCAAGCTCAGCCCGCCGAAAGCCCCCAGAGCTTTTGTCCTTTGACGGCTTCTAACTGCCTCTTCGCGCACATGTTCAGCTTCGCCCCAGAGTATTATCCTCTTCACGAATGTCGGATTCGAGCTTCGTCTTTGCGGGCATTCTCGGATATGCTCCTAACATCGTCTTCGCAAATTTTGGTTCGAATGTCCTCTTCGCAGCAACTTCAGCTTCCCAAAATACACTGTCTTCGCCAATGGTTTCTGCATCGTATGCGCCAATTTCGGCTGCGAATGTCGTTTTGCGGGCAGCTTTGGCTTCGCCTCGCAATATCGTCTTCGCTGATTTCGGCTTTCAGTTCAGCGTCAACGTTCGTCTTCGCAGCCATTTTTGGGTTCGCGCTACATGTAAACGGTCAACGCATTTTAAACTTCGTCGTGTTCGCAATTTCGTCTTCGGCCACCCAGCCAAATGGAGACCCTCTCTCCCGGGTTAATGCGTTCAAGAATGCACACCGCTCTGCCTGTGCTACTCAGATGGCGCTTGAGATTTAGAAAGACTGCGTTCGACTTGTCTCTTGTCAGCTGCTGTTACTTGCAAGGCTGCTTCCTAAACAGAAACGCCGACGCCAGCTGCCTAAACTCGATCTGCGGTGCGGCAAATCTGCGCCTGTTAGTTAGAGAGCGCGTGAGACTAAGCATCAAACCCCTAAACCCTTCAAGAAAAAAGCCATACCAACCTTGGAAAATTAATATGGAACCCTTCCATAACACACTCCCTCGCCAATTCCCTCTTGCCCTGAATCCACGTTCCTGCAACAACACAGAGATTAGTTTAAGAAATCACATATGCTTGTAAGCGCAACTTTGTCAGCTAGACAACGCATTTTAAGGCTATTCGATAGCAACATCCTATTTCATCAAATAGGATATATCTTGCTAGGAAAACAAACTAGCCAGCATGTTGTTTAACACACTAATAGTTAGAACATTAACCCAAGCTTCGAGGTGGCACCCTCCGGGTCGAGGTCCACCGGGACCCCGGGCTCATCCAAGAGGACTGCGGAGATCTGCGGCAAAGTTGGCTCTGCCTTGCAAATTGGCAAAAAGAGGATCTGCATGAATTAAGGTTTGCCAACCAGGCGGGTAGTTTTCTGTTTCCTTTCCGCTTAATCCCGTCCAAAAAGAGGGCTTCAACCTTTGTCAAGACTAATTACTCTGGTTCACCGACCGGAATCCGTGGACCAAAATGGTGCCTTTTGGTCATGCTTCGAAAAGGTACCCTCAAAATGCATATGCATATGCCAGAAACATCCGTGCCACAGTCGGGCGCTGGCATGTCTCGAGTTCGCACTTGCCAAAGTCGGGGTCAAAGCGAACCCCCAGACTGCTTCACTTGCCGAATGAAACCCGGAGGGTTCAGAGGCTGCGTCGAATCGTCGGTTGACGGTTTCGATTGTCCTCTCACCCATCAAGTTGAGACATGGGACTCCGAGAGAAAACCATGCTGCTTCCAATGTAGATCACGAAGAAAACAATCAAAACCCAAGAAACAAGTTAATGAAGGGATGCCAAATAGGGTGTCAAGCATCGGCCTGCCTTTTTAGGAGTCCATAAATGGCGTGAATTTGAATGAGGCACCTTTGGTGGACATCATGAGGTGCCAGCCATTAAAAAATCCTACATAGCCAAACTCCATTGGGTGCAAATAGTAATTCTGAAAAGACACTGCAGCGAACGTACTCCATCCCCTGTAGTCCTCGAAACAAAGGCCAACGCACTAGTTGTGGTCCTTCAACTCACTGATGATATATGTTCATACTACCAAGCATTTTTTTAAGCACCAAGCAAAGAAACACTATGCTGCCCCCGATCCCAACCCTGTCAGTGGCTCATGTTGAAACCGCCCGAGAAACAAACAATGCAAATTCGTGTCTTTTTTGAGGGTACCATGTTGGGGGTTGGTTGGGAAGCCAAAGGGAACCCATGCATTTTGGGGGACCCATTAAGCGACAAACCAAATAAGTGTCGTTTTTGAGGGTACCCCTCTTCTTGTTGTGTTGAAGGCCACCGTTTTCGTTTATCCCCTAAAAAACACGAACTCACGTGTACCCCTGCCAAATCAGAACTGCTGTGCACCCCGCGCTCGCGTCATTTTTGTCTCCGGGCCAGGCCCCGCATGGCAGCAGCGCACAAAGAAGGCATCAAGGTCCACCTCGAAACCCCATTGAACAGACATGGACCCAGAGGGTGAGAAAGAGGGAAGTACGGATAGGCGGGGGGGGGGGATGATTCTTCAAGGCTAAGAAAACCGAAGATCCTTTTGGGATGAATCTAAAGGGAACGGACAAAGCTTGGGGCTTCATCGGGAAGAGATGGATGATTTTCAGGGAGAAGCTCAGGCAAAACCAAACAATTCCCGTTGAAACAAACTTTGCGCGAGACACTGGCCGCTTCCCATCGTAATTGCATAACTCGAATGCCAGCCCCAAATAGTTGATGTTGAAGGCAAAGCCACTCAAAAAGGCTGCAGCCGGGTATCTGTAGCCCCATTCCGAATCCATCTGCTTCCGAAAATTGGTTGAACCCTTTGGTCTGGTCCAAAAAGAATCCACAAGGACCCACGCCCGCTTCAGCTGTCTCAAATTTCGCCTGCTTGGCACCCAACTCCAGCGCCAACTGCACCCAGCAGTCCTCGGGAAAAAGGCCGGACCAAACAAGTTGCAGGCCCTGGGAGTTGGGCAGAACCAACTCCTTCAGCGTTCATATCTCGGTGAGGCTCTCGAATATCACAGGGTGCATGAGCTCACAAAGCGATACAGGAAACACACCCTACAAGATCCTACAAGAAACACCTTCTGTGTCATGGAAGTAAAGGCATTCGAATCCAGGTTCGCACGGGTCATGCTCAAGGGACTTGTTGGTTGCTCAAACTTTGGCCCTGGATTGGTTCCATGGTGGGCTGGCTCAATTTGACCCCCAGGGCTGCCAAAGCCCGGAGCTTGCTGAGATAGCCGAAGCCATATGCGGTACACACGCCAGCAGTTGCCAGCGAATGACTTGGTTCACCTGCGCCGTAGGCCACTGCACTGGAACACGTATGTAATCTGGTACTTCGTTCATATCAACTCATTCACTATGTTCCAACAATATGAAATGTGGTGGCTTATGGCATACTGTAGCTTCTATAGGACGAGCCTCATGGGTGTTGCCGGTTAGCAGCGTTGGCCGCTCAATCAGCGCCCACAAAACTGGTGCCTGTGGCAAGGGAAAGCAAAGTGGCGCTGGAGCCTCATATAAAAGTAGCTGGTCTAACCTGATGTTGCCTGTTATGCCGCCCCGTCATCATTTGGCCATGTCTATCTGGCGCTTCATCCGGATGACCCCAGGCACCCCAGGCTGAAGCCGCCGTGTCCTGGTTTCCAGCTGGGCCGAAGGCGGTGTCGCAGCAAGTTTCCCAACTGAGCGAGCCATGCGATGCCGATCGCTCTCTAGCGCCCCAAGCTGTGGGCATTAGCCCTTTTCCAGGGGATCCCAACTCCCTGTTATAGAAGCAGTTTTATTGTTTCCATATTCACGTTTCTACTTTTCAACTGGTGGTTTTCCTTGGCTACCCATCGAAATTAGTGGAAATAATTAATCTACATGGAAGCACACATCCAACTGCACGAGTCATGATCACGTATACCAGTGAGCTCAGGCCCATGTATGATTTGGCTGGGTGCTCGTTGGTGGAGCTTACTCAGCTGGTGACAGCAACAATCGCACACCCTCGTTTTGCCACAAAAAAACGCCTGGCCTGCGGATGCTTGATGCGAAGCAGCGAGGGTCCTGAACAAAGCGTCGACAAATCTGTCGGGATAGCAGCCGACATAACTAGGTTTGCCATCAGTCCATTGGGAACGGCTGAGCTGCATCTGGTTCCAACCGCACGTGTCTTGAAAGCATGTTTCGCAAGCGAGAGCTCAAAAGCAAGTGCCCAACGTCTGTGAAAGCACAGTTCATCTCTTCCAAAAACCTGTCTGAGCTTGGTCCCTCATCACAAGTCTCTGCATTTCCAGGGGAAACCTTTTCAAAACATACAGGGACTGATTGAATTGTCAAGTTGGGACCCAAAATGGCAAGTGAGAAACCCAGGAACAGCCACGCAAACTGATAGCGCCTGCGTTTCCTTCTTCGGCGGCATGTGCATGGGCACTCCGCCGGAAGGACCATGCCTGCCGATTCGCTGCAGTCGCTCTGCCAGAATCTATGACGCTCAATGGATCTTCCAGTTGTTGAAGGACATATTGGGGAATAAGTCCTGCTGGACATTTAAACCAGCAAGTGGGCATTCCTGGAAGCAGCTAGGGTTCAAGGGTGCACCCCCAACAAAAAAGGCAAAACAACCTTGAGTGCTTAGAAGCTGACCAAGTGAAACAGAACATATGTAGGACAAGCTGCCCAGCTGTCATCGAAAACGACAACTCCCTCAATGCGGCAAGCACACCACTCAAGGAAGAACACGAACTAGGCCGCTCATGGCATTGCGGCATATATCTGTTGCAAGGTCCTGATTGCCCATGTTGCCCTCACAAGCCAAAACAAACCAAGTCCGGCGATGCTAAACCAAAGACATATTCACCGTCCGGGGTTAGTGGTTTCCCCGGAAGAACACAACCGCTGTTTGATGTTCATCCAACACCCACCACATCAAGCGATAAGACAGGGGGTGGCGCCCATGGAAACTGGTTCTCCTTTGATACCGTTCGGTCGTGCAAAACTTAAAGAGCATTTGCTAACAGTACGGTTGCTTCTGTTCCATATTGAACCTTAAAATACGACATCAGTTCAAAAGAAACTCCTATAAAGGAGGGTCCAACGTTGTGCAAAAAACAGGCTGGTGGGGTGGGCAAATGGTCATCTTCCTGGGTCATCCCCTTGCTCGTTTTTTTGGTCCCTTCCTCCGAGGGGCTCGGATGAGAGCACCGCATCCTCCGGCAGCAGCAGCACATCCTCCAGGGGGCGGCTGGTGACCGGCAGCGCGTCAGTCGGCTGGGGCAGCACGTGGGCGCTCAGGGCAAGCAGCTTCCACCAGTAGCCTCGGCGTCATGGCTCTTAAAGGACCACGCTGTTTCATACCTGGGTCCTATGTCTGACATTAATATAGAAAGTCATCCAAATGGGAAGGGTTTGAACACCATTTCCCATTTGCCTTCGTTTGGTTGGTTGGTCCTCCGGTGGTTCACCTCAAGGCAACTCCTGTGAACTCGGACTTCTTCAGAATCGAACATTGGGACCACTTTCCGTCCATACAGTGCGAATTTGCTACTTTCTCCAGGCAACCAATTTAGCACTCAGTTAAACGACACTTTTCTGTGATACTGAGAGGATTCGGTTACCCGCTTTCCCACAGGAAGGGTGGTTTCCTGGAAGAATGACCTGGAAGAATGACCAGGCCTCCAGCCACCCTGCAAATTAGAATGAACCCGACAAGGTCCCCGAATCTTAAGTTCCGATGTTCATCTGCCGGAGATTTCCACGTTTTTGGGTTGTAGCTGTTCAGTCATGGCAGAGAATGGGAGCCCAGTTTGAGGTTGACCAGTTTTAGTGGGGAAGCCACCAAACAAAAAGGGAAACAAAGGCCCGCTGAACAATTTGGTCAACGTCTAACCCGGACTCCACCAAGGACTTTATTTGCTTCTTTTCAATCGCAGGGGCAACCATGTAAAGATGGCGGATCTCAACCGTTGACCCGGACGCCGGGCGGCAGTCCACCGCCTGGACGCTCAGCGCGTGGCGCGCCAGGCGCTGGCCCTGGCGCGCCAGCTGCCGCGCCAAGCGCGGCTGGGAGCGCAGGGCCGCCATGAGCGGCGCCACGGTGCTCCTGAAGAAACCCCACGGAGACGGTCGGCCGCGTTTTTGGAGGGTACCCGATGTTGGTGAAAACCCGGCAAATCAGAATTTTCAGGGGTCCCCTAGGCTTGTCAAACTGAGGCACCCAGAAGGCTTCTTTTTGGTTTCTACGGTAAATCGTTCGTGTATATATAGCTATGATTCATCAATCTGGATGTTGCATGGTTCTCGCAGAACTTGATGCTCTCCACTGGCG